CGGGCATGGTAGTGCATGCCTGTAATTCCAGCTACTTGGAAGGCTGAGGTGGAAGGATCGCCGGAGCCCAGCAGGTTGAGGCTGTGGTGACCGGGAGCGGCCACTGCACTCCAGTCTGGGCGACAGAGTGAGACTCCAACTCAAAAAAAAAAAAAAAAAAAAAAAGAAATTAGACCAGCACCAATGCACATCTGGAATGCTAGTGCACTGAATATGTTGCAGAAATCCTACTTATAAATAACAAATAATCATGACTGGTCAGCTGCTGGTCAGGATCCTTCTCTGGGTACTGTTTATTGGCTTATACGTCAACTGTTTTTAGCCTTTTTGGCATTCAGTTCTAACTAAGCTAGCTATCTCAAGAAGAAACTCAATCCTCTTTCTGCAAAAGTTTATATAAATTAGTCTTTATGTAGCACTTCTAGTTTATAGTTTGTTTTTGAGTTGGAGTCTCACTCTGTCTCTTAGGCTGGTGTGCAGTGGCACAATCACAGCTCACTGCAGTCTTGACCTCCTGGGCTCAGGCGAAATTTCTGCCTCAGCCATCTGAGTAGCTGGGACTACAGGCATGTGTTACCACACCTGGATAATTTTTTATTTTATTTATTTATTTATTTTTGTGTTGGAGTCTCACTCTGAATTTTTTGTAGAGATGAGGTCTTGCTATGTTGCCCAGGTTGGTATCGAACTCCTGGCCTCAAGCGATCCTCCCATCTTGGCCTCCCAAAGTGCTGGGATTACAGATGTGAGCCACTGTGTCCAGTCTATAGTTTATGATTTTCTCCTACGTCTGTTAGGCTGCCCTTTAAGGTAATTTTGCAGTTCAAGAAGCTAAGTCTTAATCAATTTAATTATTTTAACTTTTGTGAGATTTAAAAAAAAATTCTTAAGAAAAAGCCCATGACTTACATTATTCATAGAATAAACTTCAAACATTTCAGTAGATTAGTAAACAAGGCTAAAGTGACTATGACATTTAACAGCCTAGATATGTAGATTAAATCTTGACTACATTTTGGACTAGAACCCAAGTAGCTTGACTTCAAGTATAAAGCTTCTTTTATCAGAATATATGACTTGAAAATAAGTAGTTGGTTTTGCAAATTTTGTAGTTAAAATACACACCAAATTAATCTCTTCTGCATTGAAATCCTCAGCCAGGAAAGCAGTCCTCATTAAAACTTCATGGCGCTTGGTTTCATGAATCTGGTCCAGTTTGGTCCCTATTACCAACAGTGGGATTTGGTTATCAGCAAATTGTTCTCGATCATAATCCCTGTGATAAATAAAAATGAAGAGGTGAATATAATTTACCTTTATGATGTAGACCTATAATACTTAAACACAACTAGCTTATGCTATTTTACTGAAAATTAACTATTTTCTGCTCACCTATCACCTACCAACCTAATTTTTCCCCAATTCTTTTCATGTATTTCTTCATTTATCAATCTATCCTCCTCTCTATTGAGTTCCAACTATTCATCTAACTTCTCAAAATCTGGTCTCATATGTTTTTCATTGGCTACTTGAACAACTAATGCCCACTAAGTATACCATAGTCAAGTGACTTTACTTTCCCCATAGCTCTGTTTTCTAAGGGTAACAGCTCAGAACTTTTTAGTGTAGAAGCAGAGAGTGGATTTATACCTCAGTACAGAGAGAATCCAGGAGCCTAGCACAACACTCAAACCTTGTGCCAGAAGGAAAAAATGTCAAACTTCTGAGTACTTGTGGGGTATCACACACTCTATATCTACCATACACATTTCTGTCTGAATGGCAAAAAATAAGAAAATGAAATTGGGATGCTGAATCCTAGAATAAATCAATTATAGGTGATATTATAGGTCTGGGAAAGACACGTTAAACAAATGGAAGTAGAAATAAATAGCTAAAATGCAAAACAAATAGTAAAAGGAAATAATGTGGCGCCAAGTAGTTGGTTTGTCCTGACATGAGAGCCATGGAAGACACAGAACAGGTAATAAAAATCACTTAGGATTAGAGACCTTGTGTTACTGGCTTTTATACTCCTTTTTCCTATATATAAACAAAGAATAGAGTAGTGATATAAAGGATACTTTTCATTGCCAAAAGAAACCATAGAGTCCGCTGTTGTTGAGTTAGTTTAAATTCTATTCATATATTAGAAATAAAACAGATTTGAACTTCTGACATATTATAAGCTCAATTTACAACAGTCAGCAAAATTTGGTTGTGCATAATTTATGAAAGTAAATCAATATTACATAATCCAATCACTGTAAGTCGGTTGAGCATAGTTTTTTTTCTTCCTTTGATACTACGTTTCTTTCTCTTAAAGTAATCTAAATTGGGGCAGAGAGCACAGTTACTAAATTTTTATGCCCTTCACAAGCATCTTACAAAGCCTCAGCTACTGTTAGTCCTTGGAACACAATTGTATTCAACTATATATATATTCCCTTCTCATAAAAACACTACCATTCTATTTATTGCATTAAAGTCAAGAATAGCATGCCTTTAATTCTTCACATATCAATCATGATTTAGGAGACAGTCCAAAACTGAAATTTGCTTTATTAGAGAATCAAGTTTTCAGAGTACCCCCCTTTAGAACTATTTAGGACTGTTTCCCTGCCCTGTATTCACTAATTTTGTCTCACATACAAACTTGTATATATATTCTATCAAATATCATCTTTGATATACATACATCTCTGTCATTTACAGTCTTGCACAATTACTTGCACATAGACATATATGAAGCATGCATATATACTTTGTTCTCTTATTTCTCTTTTTAGTTTTCCTTTTTCTCACTTTTTTTCATAAAATCTTATATCCAATTTAAATTTGATCTTGAAATCTTTTTTTTTTTTGTAAATTGGAGAATTTATCATGGATAGATAAGGCTGATAACTCCTTAACATCACAAAGAGACAGACAACTATATGCATAACACTACTTTGGAAAAATAAAAACAAAAGCCCTGTATCTTTCAGACTCTACATATAACTTCCATTTTAGAGAAGACTTAGGATTCAGATAAATAAGTTTAAAAGACACTACAGGAATACAATCAACAAAATCCAGAATACAGAAAACTGTACAGGAAAAAACAAGCCATCTTCTTCCATGAGTAAACTGTTAGGGGATTAAAAAAAAAACAAGGAGGGGGAACTCAAGATTAAAAGACACTTAAGAAACCAAATACAACAAGTATACCTTAGGAACTTATTTAGATGTTGTTCTGAACAAATCAACTGTAACATTTCTGAGACAACTGGGGAAATTAAAATAATATTTGATTACTGAAAAATTATTAATTCTTAAGAATTACTGAACTATTAATTCTTAAATTTACATATAATAATTATATGTTGTTATGTTTAAAAAGTTTTATCCTTTAAAGCTACACATTGATGTATATATGAATGTAATAATATCATGTCTAACACTTGCTTCAAAATTCTCCAGTTGAGGGTGAGGGAAGGTGGGAAGTGGGTAGGCATGGATGAAACAAGACTGGTTATATGTTGATAACTGTTGAAACTGGGTGACAGTTACAAAGGAATTCAGTTTCTTGTCTTTATATTTATGTGTGTGAAATTTTCTGTAATAAAAAGTTTAAAAAATTACTGTAGTAAAAAAGCACAAAATCTACCTACAACTTTTTTATATGACTCAAAACTTAAGCAGATATAAAAGATATATGCTAAGCAGCCTTGTTCCTACCCTTCTCCCCATTCATCCATTTCCTCTGGTCTCTCATAGGAAACTGCTTTTATTAGTTTCTTATTTATGTTTCCACTGATTCTTTATACAAATATAAATACGTATTCTTATTTCCCCCCTTTTTACACAATAGGAGATATATGATATATATTCTTTGCATCTTGATTTTTTAAAAACCTAACAATGTATCTTCTGTAGGTCTATTTTAGCACACAGAAATCTTCCTGATTCTTTTTCAAATAGTTGAATAGTAGCTAGTATGTGTATATACTATTATTTATCCAATGAATCTTCTGTTGTCAGAATCTTCTGATGCTATAAATAATGCACCAATAAAACACTAATGTATTAATGTTGCTTTATGTAGTTGAAGGTTTATCTACAGGATCAAAATGGAGCTGTAGAGTTAAAATGCAAATGTACCTATACTTTTTTACTGCCACCTTGAATTCTGTGATATCAATGCAGATTTTTTTCTGATATGAATACATTACCTCCTAATCCTATAATTAAGAATAAATTTCTTGAGTAGAAATTTTAGTAGAAAATAGAAAGAAAAAGCTAAGTTGATGAAAACATCAATGATGAAAGGAATTGAGACAGGAGGTAGGAAATATCAACTTAGCTTTGAAATAAAGGTTACATTTAAATTAGTTGTGTTGATCTTTAGTAGGTCTTCAGGAATTCACATACATGCACTCAAACTTATACTACATTTAGGTTTCACATAACAACTAGACCAATTAGACTTCCACACAGAAAATAAAGTCTTTAAAAGACTTTCTTCAATCAAAAATGAGAAATGGGGTTCTGTTTTGGGTAAATGGAATAAGTGTACTCTATCCTATCTTTCCCACTGAATGTAGCTATAAAACCTGGAAAGAATGCATGAGGCAGATATTTGAGGACCCTGAAAGTTAACAGTAGCAAGCATATTGAGGAAGAAGACAGGAATTTGAAATACCACTGAACCAGCAGTGAGTGTATAATTCTTTTCCTTTCATATCCTCTTCTATTGTTGAGTCTGAATGCAATTCAGCTTAAAACCCAAAAGTGGTTACTGTATCAGAGAACTCCAGAAGAAGTCCTATATTTCTGGCTCATGAAACAGGAAAATGAACTCCTAATGTTTTAGAGGGTATGGAAATGCAGTATTTTTTCCTTTTCATAAGCCAGTCCCTGAGAAATTTCATGATGGTTGTGGCAAAGGCTGTAATACAAGGAGAGTGCTCAGGAACACAGAGGAGGGGAAATCTTTCTCTTTGGTGAAACTGTAATCCCAAGAGGGTGGTGCCAACTCTCATTACTTTTATTCTGCTCTTTGTCCTTCTGCAACTTGTTCTGCATATGGGTGCAGTTGTGCAAGTGCACAATAGAATAGATAACAAAAGCCCCAGCTTTTTGGATAGAGCACAAACAAAAAAAAAAAAAAAAGAGAGAGAGAGAGAGAGAGAGAGAGAAATCAATAAAACAAAAAGTTACTTCTTTGAAAAAAATCAATAAACTTGATAAACCTGTACAAGTCTGGCAAAAAAGCAAAGAGAGCAGACATAAATTACCAAAAACAGGAATGAAAAAAGGGATACCATTACAGACTATGAAAATAGCAAAAGACAATAAACAAATACCATAAATAACTCTATTCTCATAAATTCTACAACTTAAATGAAATGGATGAATTCTTTGAAAACTACAAACTACCAAAACTTACCCAAGGTGAAACAGATAACTTGAGTAGTCCTACAATTATTTTTTAAAAATGTAATTTGTGGTTAAAACCCTTTCAAATAAATCTCCAGACCCAGATGGTCTCATTGATAAATTCGACCCAACATTCAAAGAAGAAATAACACTAAATATACACAGTCTCTTCCAGAAAACAAAAGAGGAAGAGACACTTCCAACTCATTCTATAAAGAAAACATTATCTTCGCACACCAAATCCAGTAATTGTCAGATATTAAAGACATTATAAAAACAGGAAATTATATACCAATATACCTTATTAATACAGAAAAAAAATCCTCAAGAAAATATTAGCATTTCAAATCTAATAACAAAGGAATGGATGGCTGGTTCAATATTTGAAAATCAGTCAATGTAATCCACCACACTAACAGTTTGAAGAAGAAACCACATGTCCATATCAATTGATGCAGAAAAGATTTTTGACAAAATTCACTGTGTTCATGATAAAACTATCAGCAAGTTGGGGACAGAAGAAAACGTTTTCAATCTGATAAAGGACATCAACAAAAAACCCTATAGCTGACATTATATTTAATAGTGAAAAGACTAGCTGTCTTTCCCCTAAGATCAGGAACAAGACAAAGATACTCATTCTCATCACTCCTATTTAGTATCATTCTAGAAGTTATAGCCTTATTAGGCAAGAAATAAAACAATAAGTATATAAGGAGGAAATAAACCTATATAGAATATCCTAAAGAGTCTACTAAAAAATTCTGCTCACAAGATAGAAGGCTGGCAATCAAAGTCAATTCTATTTCATTATTCTAGCAGTGGACAATTTTTTTTAAACATATTTTTTATTATAAAATTGTGGGGTACAGTTAAGGGTTAGGTATACAAATGTGCATCGTTCAGGCACCCTTGTTAATAAGGGGTGTCTCCCCATCCCCAGACAGATATTGACTACCGTTAGTACCATCTCCCTTCCCCTCCCTACTCCCCCCATAGTTTCCCACCACTGTCAGTCCTTTTCTTAGCAGTGGACAATTTGAAACTGAAGTTTAATGAATGCCATTTATAATAGCTTAAACAATACTAAATACTTCTGTATAAATCTAATAAAATGCATAGGATTTATGTGCTGAAAACTACAAAATGCTGACAAAAGAAATAAAAGATGAAATAAATGAAGAGACATAAGGTGTTCATAAACTAGAAATATAACAGAACAAAGATATCAATTCTCTCCAATTTGATCTACAGTTTAATGCAATTCAAGACAAAATCCAAGCAGAATTTTTCAATACAGATAAGCTGATTCTCAAATGTATGTAAAAAGACAAATGAATCAGAATGCGAAACAATTTTGAAGAAAGGATAAAGTGGAAGAAATCACATTGTCCAGTTTTAAGACCAGAGTTGTGGCCATAGTATTCATGAAGCAATAGACACAGATCAATGGAACAGAACTAGAGTCCAGAAACAGATCCATGCTAATATGGTAAACTGATTTTTGGCAAGCGCAAAAGCAATTCAAGAGAGAAAAGATAGTCTTTTCAACAAAGGATGTTGGAACAATATGCAAAAGTTAACTTCAACCAAAACTTCACATCTTATATAAAACTAACTTAAAACAGATCATGGGCCAACATTTAGATCATAGGTCTAAATGTAAGCCTATAAATCTTAAAATACTTTATGTAAATGCTTTATTATAAAAATGTAAAACTATAAAACTGGTAGAAGAAACACAAGAGAAAACCTGCATAATCTGGGATTAGGCAAAGAGTTCTCAGCCATGATATCAAAAGCACAATCCATAAAAGAAAAAAATAAGAAGTTAGATTTTATAAAAATAAAAACAATTGCTTTATAAAAGGCATTGTTAAAAGAATAAAATGATAAGCTATGGACTAGGAGAAAAATATTTTCAAATCAAATATCTGACAAATATCTGATTGTAAATCAAATATTCTGGAGAATATATTCCTGTTACTGCCATAACATTTCAAATCAATCATGAAATAATTCTAGGCTTACCCATTGGTCACCAAGACTCCAGTTGGCACCAAATCCCTGTTGAGAGCTTCCAATGACCAACGATACAAGTTTTGGGATGACTTCTTATTTGTCAAGTCATGTACTAAAATAATACCTAAAATAATCAGAGAGAATGTCAATACTATAACAATTCCTCTTCATTTCACATTTGGCAAAGTAAAATTCAGTAAATACAAGCATTATTAGGTTGTCTAATGAATCTAGCATTCTAATATGACTAACAAACTCAGAACACAATTATTTTAAAATCTCCTCCAAAAGCACTTATAAATAATTAACTATAAAACTTCATCAGTTAATGTAACTTTTTTTCACAAGGGCTGACAAAATGTCATTACACTTTTAGAATATCTTTTCTTTATTCAGCATTTCCTGAGTGCCTACTCTATGCCTAATCCTAATTGCAGAACCATCTCATCAATCAAGAGAATTAAACCACTTCAAGTATAAGGGAATTATATTCATGTAAAAAGTTATGTTGCTTTGTCAATGTACATAGCACTGCCATAGACACTAGTACATACATATATTATCTATACTCACTAAAAGAATTAAATAATAAAAAATTTTTAATGGCATTAATTTAATTTGACACAATTGCTATTCTTTAGGTGACAAAATATTGTCCTATTGATCACCTGAACGTAATCAACTCAAAAATCTAATTTCTAGTTCTTCTAATTAATGCCTAGTTATAAAAGCTTGCTACCTATAAGAGATCTAGCTAAAAGAGCAAAAGAAATGTACTGCTAGAAGAGAGTAAGAGGAGAGAGTCAAGAATTATGAATAGTAGAAAATATAGGTGTAGACTTTTGAGATTGAGGAAAAAAATGTAATGAGGCTCAGGAATACAATTAAACAGACTCAATTAAGATCCTGGATAGAAAGGCAACGCAGGTGATTATTACAGTAAGATATGGACAAAAGAGGAAAAGCCTTAATGCCCAAGTAGAATTTAGGATACAGGTATTATCTTATGGTCAAAAGACCATAGGTTTCAAACTCCCAACCCTTCCTATAATATCCAGATTGTGAAAAGAGGACATGAGGCGAATGATTCCTCCATCTTCAGTATATGTTATACATCAATTTAAAAAATAAGAGCAGAAGAGGTAGAATTAATTGGCTTCTATCGTTTTTATAGCCACATGTGTAATCAGGTGCTTGTACAAGATATTAGTTGAATTGTTCCAGTCACTCAGATGAACCTGTATCCCTGCTGGAGTTTAGAACACTTGCCCCTGTATCCAACCTAACTTGCTCTTCTTTCTTCAATAAGTATTCTAATAGGTGTCAGGGCATAGATTAAAAAAAAAAAAGAATAAAGAGGTACCATCAAGAACAGAGCTAGTATTTGTTCAGCACTTATATGCTAGATATTGTACTTTATATGTGCTATACAATTAATTTTCAAAACTGTCTTATGAGGAAAGAATTGTCATTATCTTCTATGTGACTTACTCCAAGTCACACAGAAAGATAGAATTTGCACTCAAGTAATGTGACAGTAAAAGACCAGGGGAAAACAGAATAAAATCTCATTTTTAGAGCAAAGTAGTGGCATGTCTTATCCCCTTCTCTATTTCCTGTATAAATATTACAAAACTATGGGTAAGAATTTTGGATGGGGGAATGAAAGGATCACAAAAGCCTTGGTTAGACAGACAGGGAGGAATTTATTTTTTGAGGATCTCTAGGTAAGGCTTTAAGCTTTTAAGGGTATTTGAGTATTCTTTTTTCTTATTCTTTTTCACTTGGGCTGAAAGTTCTTGCTTTGTAGAATAGGAAATAGAAGAGCAAAGGTGGACCCCAGACAAAAGAAGTCAGAGTGACAGCTGAAGAGAAAATATTTTAATCTTAAGAGAGAGAAGAAAAGATACTTTAAAATTTCCTTTTGAGATTATCAGCTTAACTCATCAGAGAGGGAGGAAGGTAGGGTACTAAGGGAAGAAAAGTTACTTCTAAGAATAAAGACTGGGCAGGGTTTCATGGCTAAGTTTGTAATTCCAGCACTTTGGGAGGCCGAGGCAAGTGGATTGCCTGAGTCCATGGATTCGAGAGCATCCCGGGTAACTTGGTGAGACCTCATCTCTACAATAAATAAAAAATTAGCCGGGCATGGTAGTACGCGCCTGTAGTTCGAGCTACCTGTAAGGCTGAGGCAGAAGGCTCGCTGGAGCCTAGCAGGTCGACGCTGAGGTGGCCACTGCACTCCAGACTGGGTGGCAGTGAGATTCCAACTCAAAAAAAAAAAAAGAATAAAAAATAAAGACTGAATTTGAATAGAGTGATCTTTATGCTCTGTTTCTTAGGAAGCTAAGGATGGTAGATGGAGTAGAGAATCTTGAGTATTTCTACCAAAAAAAAAAATGTTCCAGAGCTTGGGTAAAAGAACACAGAAATAGGTTTTTTAAAATAAAAAAACAGAAAATTGTTTAAACTTTAAGAAACAGGAATATATCTCAGTCTTATAGAGACCAACATGGGATATATATAATGCTTTCAGTAATATTAAAGGAAGACACAGATCACTAATGAATAGTAGGTTCAGAAGAGAGACTGAAATAAATACAGACTGAAACAGATTTTTTCTTCAGCACTTAAGAGTTTACAACTCAGAATTCCATAGTTTCTAGGATTTGAATGATATTTAATCCCTATATTTATTTATAATTTTCACTTTACTCCTGTCTCAAAAATATCTAAACAGCAAAAACATCTAAGGTGTTATATACCCAAACTTTCCTGTGCTGAAAAAGTTGGTATCTACTTTGATGTCAAAGTCATTTGACTGATACATGTTTATTACTTGAGTTTGTCCAAACCAGCTTTTATTTACTTATTTCCTTTCTCTAACAGTCACCTCACACTATATCGGTATTATTGTTTTTCTTTACTATATATTCTATTAATATATGGCATTATCATATATTTTCTTACATGATGATGGCATATATTAATGTCATCATCTTGTAACTGTTTTGTTTCATTTATGAATGCTTTGTTTCTTCAATTATACTGTGATGCTTTTAGATAGAATTCTGAGCTAAATGGGACACGGGTCTGAACTGAGACAACTCACCTTATATAGTCTATAATATGTATCGATGAAAGAACCTTCTCTACTTCCTTTTGTAGTATCTACAACACCTTATGCTATGGGAAGATACTGAAAGAATAGAAGGAACAAATGTACTAAATAAGTACAATGCTTATCTAAAATTGAATGAGATCTAAGCATAGCATAAATGAGGTTATATTAATGGCTACTCGTTTAACAGGAAGGGGTGAGATGCCAAATCTATTGGTATATTAATTGACAAGAAGTTGAAATCATATTTCCTAGTAAAAAATGAATTTTTAAAAAAAGACTATAAGAAAGACACTATTGGCAAATCACAGGTATAAGTGGTTTAATCTCTTGACATAGAGCAGGCATTCTGTGAATGAAAACTAGGTTCTCTATTACACAGCTTCATCTGAAAGTTTGCTTCAGGTATCTGAATATATATTAATGGATAACATTTCTGTACCCCTAAAAATACCCATAGGCAGCTCTTTATAACCATAAAGAACTCTTTCTAATGGGGGAAGATAAAGGAAATTCCCATATCTCTGTGACAAGTGGCTTAACCCTATGGAACTTCTATGGTCAAACAATACTTATTCAACTGACTGGAGAGACAGCACATCCAAGGGACAGTGTTTTGAAAGTTTTATGTCATTTCTGACACGATGATGATGGGACAGGTTGGACTGTGAGAGACTCTGCAAAAGCGAGTGTCCATAAAAACTCTCCAGTGAGTAGGTGTGTGCCGGTGGGTGAGTGAAAGTCCATCTGAGGGGAGACAGGTTCATGCATCTGGGGCTCTCCTCCAGAGACTGGGGAGATTGCAACTCCCCACTGCCCTGAGATTGGAGCCGCTGGCATGCAGGGTCATCTGCTATTCTTGGGGCTCTCCTGAGAAAAGGCTGTGGAATACAGCTGGTCCTCACTACCTGGGACCCAGTCCACACCTTCATCTGTGAAAGGAGAGTGGCAGGAGTCCCAGATCTGTGGAGAGAGCAGGTTGAGGCGAGCTGGAGAGGAGAACCACCTCTGGTGAGGAAACACAATTTTTGTCCTGGGACCAGGCAAAGACCTGCACTGTCCCACCCCAGCTCCATCTAGCCTCCAACCAGGAACCTAGAGGTTATCTCATCAAACTCGGAGAGACAAATGCACCTCCCCCACACTGGAACAGGCGCAGACAAGTCTGATCTGAGTAGGAAACTTGACAATAGGGGCAGCAAACCAGGTGAGTCCATATCTGATCCACCCTCCTCCCACAGTAGTCCATGGGCCATCTGACCCATGCTGACAGCAACCCTAACAGCCTGTGCTGAGAACAGAGGGGAGAGGCTGGAGACCAGAGCTGAAAAGAAGTTGAAGTTACAGGAACAGCCTCAAAGTCAGTTTTAAAAAATTTTTATTTTTGCCTTTGTTTATTGTTTTAGTTTTTTTCCCTCTTCATTCTTTCTTTCTGTTTTTGATTATATTCCCATACTTGCTTTGTTTCTGTTTATTGCTGTTTTTTTAGACTTCCTGTTTGTGTATGGGTATTTTTGAGGGAGAGTACATAAATGGGGGGTTTTAGTTGGTTAGTGTGTTTGTATGATTGTCTGTATGTTTTTGATTTTTTAATCTTTTCTGTCTTTGTTTGTGTCTCTTTTCATTTGTTAGTTGGTACGCCTGTCTGTTTTCCCTCTTCTCTCTCTCTCTCTCTCTCCACCTTCCTCTCATCCCCCTCCTTCCTTTTTCCATTCTTTTCATTTTTCTTACCTCATTTTGCTTTCAGGGACAAACCTATAGCCCCACTGCACTGTAGGGCAGTGGGGAGGGGGTTCCAGGGGATCCACACACCTGACAGTGTATGGGTATTTGTACTGGAACC